CTGGTGGGGTTAGCTGGGGAGAGGGAGGCCTGGGTGCCTCTGCTGAAGCTGCTACCCCCGCGACCCGAACCCCGGACAAGCGGAAGATGATGGATGGATGGATGGACTTTATTAATCCTTGTGGGGAAATTGTCTTTTTTACGCCTCCCTCAACTTGCTCTTTGTGGAGTAAGTTGTCCACGAAGGGCAGCCACCTGTTGGGGCACCCAAGGAGCTGGGGGTTAAGGGGTTTGAACCAGCGGGTTTTGAACCGGCAACCTTGTGATTACAGGCACACAGGCTTAGCCCACTGAACACGCTGCCCCCTATATGTATCTCTCTAGTGTACGTCCTGCACTGGCTCAGGCTTCTTTCCCACCAGAGAGGTTACATTCCATGTGCCTAAAACTAGTTTTGGTAGCCTATGATCAGTCCACCAAGGCCCCTACGTTTGACTGCCATCTGATTCACAATGCATCAGACCCCCATGGCCCTCCCTGCAGGTGATGGGACCACAGGAGGGTGGACCCATGAAGCTCAGGGCATTCCCAGGCAGGCCCTGTGTGTACGGACCTGACCACCAAGCAATTGCTTGCAAACTACCCCCCAGGCCGGGCTCCAGGGCGGGGCCTCTGTCCTTAATCCAGGCGAGGTTACATGGTCCTTGCTTTTTCATCACAAAGATTTTTTAATCATACTTTGGACACTCACTTAGGACCACTTTGCCTTGGGGGACCCTACCAGGGGCAATTGTTCCCAACATGGATCATGGAGGCACCCAAACCCCTCCACCACATTAAGATGACAATTTGTGGAGAGGAACTTCAGCATTAAATGATCCCAGACCTGACTGACAGCCAGTATTAGATAGAATGCAATACTAATGAGCGTATTGAAATTTGTTTTCTATCCAAACACTTTATGTCTCTCCCACATTGTTTGGTTCACAGGAAATAGTCCTGGTGGTCTTCTTTGGGACGGAGTATGTGGTTCGGCTGTGGTCAGCGGGCTGCCGAAGTAAATATGTGGGCATCAGAGGCAGACTTCGCTTTGCCAGGAAGCCAATCTCCATAATAGGTAATGGGTAACTCTGAACTTTCACCTTTAACCTCTCAGCCTGTTCCAGAATATACTTTCACACACCTGGCACTGGGGAAAGTAGGTTACTATTTAGAGTTTTAAAGTTGTGGATTTAGAGTGCCGTGGACCGTGGAACACATCTCGGGGGGGTGGGGTGGGGGGGGGCAGAGGTCATAAAGTCATTTCCTGTAAATTGTTTGTAGTTGCAGTCAGTCCTGCAACAGTGCGTGTTATCACACCGCAAATCTGTTGCTACTAATTCATACATTAGTACCCAAGTCCAATTCAACTTGGAATCGCATTTGTATTTGTGCGATTTTCTGTTGGAGAGAAAGCACTACACAAACTACAACGTGATACGGTCTTAGTGGGATACACTACTGGTTTGAACTGGTTCTTTTCAGTGAATTGGTCGAACCTGTTTTCAAATTTAAACCAATGGAACTTTTTGTATGCTACATCCATTACATCACTTACATTTGCTCATCATAAACTATAGCCATGTTGCCTTCATTGCCCCTCCACATACTCTAATCCACTGGCCTTGTGCTGTGTGCGTGCCTGGCCGCATGGTGGCTGTGGCTCACTACTCCCAACTCTGCACTCGATAGGTTAGTAATTTTGGGACTTTAGGTTAAAGTTACTAGGTAATTCTCATGAGACTGAAAGTACATTTATGATATAATTTCTGAATATATTATTATTATTATTTCTTATTTTAAATGCATATAATAACATTATTGCCCACTGGAATCACTGTTTTTATTACTTAATTCATTATTTAGTGCAATTTTAGTGAACACATGGTTTTTCAGGAACGCGTTAGTCACATTGTAGCAGGACTGACTGTAGGTGATTGTTTTTAATGAGTGTTCATCACTGCACAGTGAATGACACTCCAGAGGTTACCCAGACTTGGATCCTGGTTCAAGTCCCATAAGGGATTTTAGACCCTTTGCCATGGAACTTTACTGAAACCGCTCCGATTAAACTCTATAAATGGGTTGTGTGTGAACCTGTTTCTTTTTAACAAATGTGTTTACTTAGCAACAAACTAAAAATCAAAGATAAAGTACATTTACATTTGTATGATTGTTTTGTAGATTGAATTAGAATGAATACTTAAAATTGACTGCATAAATTCTTAATATGTTGACTTGTTTGAGTTTATTACATGATTATTAATGATTTGTATTTTTCACTGTAATAACTGTGCTTTTCAGCACATTTCAGTCTATTAAATGATCTGTGAGGCAGTGATCAGTGAGTTTGTTAAATGGTCTGTGTTTCTAACAGATCTGATTGTAGTGATCGCCTCGATCATTGTCCTTGGGGTTGGATCTAATGGCCAGGTGTTCGCAACATCTGCCATCAGGTACAGCTTGAGCTGAGGCTCCTGGTGTGAATGTGTTGGTGGGAGAGAGGAGTTAATACCATTTAGCTGGTTAATTTAAAACCATCAGTTTTTAATTTGATGTAAGGACTCCTGCAGGCTCTGTAGAGTTAGTGTGTATGTTCTGCAAAAAAAAAAAAGGAATGCCAACCGCTTCCAGCCGAGGCAGCAGATTTATAAGCCTATTACCTTACCTTTTAATGCATTTGTCTCACCTGTAAATTTGTCTGTGGCTTCTTATAAGGCAATTTTGTCATGCATAAACAAGACAAAATATTCTTAATTCTGAAGACATGCTACCATGGCATTTGTAATTAAGTTCAGAAGGGAACTGTGCATGAAAGAGTTGTATTCCATATTCTTGTCTGATGGAATAGACCTCTTATTCTATTGATTAGAGACCGACAGATATACAATACTTTGAAGCTGACTTTCTGAAGCCTCTTCCACTCCCAATCCTGCAGGGGGATACGATTCCTACAGATTCTTCGCATGCTACACATGGATCGACAAGGTGGCACCTGGAGGCTTCTGGGATCTGTAGTTTTCATCCATCGGCAGGTGAACCTTACTTGCCTTGTTTTTCAGGGTACAAGGTTTTGTTTGGAATGCATATGGTGTGAAAAACAGTTTTTAAATGGCATATTGCAATATGGCATGAAGGAAGCCCTTCAGTTAGTATTCCCGGCAATTTGTGGCACATTCCCTGGAGGTTTCTATTTGCCTGAAATTAATAATTTTAATTAGACATAACACATTATTATTATTATTACTATTATTATAATGTATTCACAAGATTGTTCCATATCCAAATGTGTCACATGGAAAAAAGTGTCCTTAAGAATGTTTTGCTATCTTTATGTGGAGGATTGCAAACGCTTAACAATGGAAACAGATCAAAGTTCTGTGCCTAGTTCCTGTGTATTCCATAATGCACATTCACCATAATGGGGATCAGAGGGTGTTCTCCCTGATGTGAACATGGCTTTCCTGAAATGGCCAGCAAGCCAGACAAATTCACATGCAGTGAACCAAACCCCTACATTTTGGGAATGTTCTTATAACCAGCACACACTTTGTCCCCAAAATGTATCATGAGACAATGCAGCATTATGGCTACATGGGCAAACAGCATGTGGCAAATGTCATCAAAGTCACTCCTTCGTTTTCTTTTCCTTTCACTTTGCACACCTGTATATAATTCAAGGTGATAATCTGTCCTGTCATTTACGCTCATTCCCCCTCCCACAATAAGATGAAATATAAGGTTGATAATGAGATCAGTTGCTCAAGGGTGGTTTTTGGGATTCTTAAACACAATGAAGCTAACCAATACCACACAAAGCACATTTAAGTCAGATTTATTGTTGCACCTTGATGGTAGAAAGGAAAAATGGTATTCTGCTCGTGGTTTTAGAGAAATCCTCACAGAGCGAGAAATGTTCAATGGTTATTTGTGGTTCCTTGTTCCAGGAGCTGATAACCACGCTGTACATCGGATTCCTTGGCCTGATCTTTTCCTCCTACTTTGTGTATCTGGCTGAAAAGGATGCTGTAGATGAGGAGGGGAAGACGGATTTCTCGAGCTACGCAGACGCCCTGTGGTGGGGTGTGGTAAGGCACCTTAGCCTCCTCAGTCCTGGTCCTACAGAAGATTACTGTCATCACTCTTTGAACTGCTGCTGGGAGAGTCACTGGTAATCATTCAATGAAAGTACATTTTAGATAGACCAACACTTGAACTTGGACCACATCTTTAGAGAGATAAATGGAGGGGGGTAAAGCTTTCTCTAGCTGCAGTTGTTGTGTTAGTTAGCACAGACTGCAGGACTGAGCTTCAGTATAGCTAATATAAGGTAGGGATATGCTCCTTCTTCTGGCCCCATACGACACACCCCTTTGTAACCCTTTCCAAGACCGGATGCTGGTATTGTTTTCATGTGTGTTTTGTGCCACCAATGTCCCAGTTTTATTCCTCCCTGTTGTCTCCTCTTCTCTAACTATGCCTTCCCTTTGTCACATGATTTTTTTACACTGTCCTACTTGGGGAAAATCGTACTCAAATCTTATCTTCTAAGCACAAATAGATCTAGGGAGGTCATTTTAAACTTTTGAGCATTCCAATGAGCTATAGTTGTGCTTTAATAGTTAAAAATAGTTATAGCTCAGAATTGTGTTTTTCTTTTGCTATCTGTGGTATAGAAAATGTGCTAAATTGTAAAGGGAATTAAAAAAAAAATAGCAAACAAAACATATTTCTGAGCTCTGGAACATATGTGTAGCTCACATGTCAAATATCATCAAAATCAAAAGTGATGCAAAGGCCATTTGTTGAATTAAAATGGAATGACCAGCACTCCAAAGTTGTACCGGTAGGGGGAAGTAAATGCATAAATGTTCCATGAATGGGGCTGTAGGAATGGGTTCATCTTCCTTCTTTTCTGCAGTCAGTTATAAATGGTGCCACAAAAGGTAGCTCTGCCTACTCAGGAATAGGGACTGAGTCACTGCCAGAACACCAGGCCCACCTCAGAACAAGTAATTCCTGGTAATGAGAGCCAGGGTAAGCTAGTGTGCAGCCATATATGCTGCAAAACAATTTAACATCCTCTGTTTTCTGCTGGTTTTTAGCCCTTTTGTTCTTTTAATTAGATTTCCAAGTGCAGGATTACCCCTTTTTGTTACTCTATTGTCTTTGCTGTAGAGCCAATAGACTTGGCTGCCCTTGTGGTTACAGAAATCCCTTCTCAGATCTTCCCTGGGGCTCTAGGCTTAGCTTGTAACTGAAGCCCTTTGCCCTTCTTGGAGAGCAGGGTCAGGAGGATGGGCTTCCATAGCAGCGGGCTCAGGTACACCAGTGCTGTCAATCGTTACTTCTGTATTTCATAATGACCCTCTTTTCATCACTGCCAGTAACCTGGAATCATAGCTCACACAAGAGAGTGAGAAAGAGAGAGAAAGAGAGAGAGAGAGGCTTATGGATAATTGCCCACAAAGTGCTCTTATAAATGTAAAGCTCAGAACTTTGCATTTACTGGGGCTGCTTGCGGTTACCTCCACGCTCCTTGCTCTTGTTAGTCACTGGGCTTGTGCTAGAGGCCTCTTCTTACATCACTCCTCATCTTTATTGGGGATGAAAGTCAACACAACCCCTGTGACTGACCTCCTCTGTGCCAAGAGTGGCTTACAATTTAGCAGAATAGGCTTATAAAAGGGTTGCTCATGAAATTCATTTGCGTGCTGACTTTATACTTGCTGTAATTACTATGGATTGTAACCGCATCCAGCACATTTTAATTCCTTTGATGCAGCAGATTTATGGTTTCACACATTGCTCAGGTACAACCTCAGCAACATTGAAGTGGTCTTGGGTGCAGCTTTAAGACAAGTGACCAACGATTTACTTATTATGGAATCTGATTGTATATCCCGATGCTTGTGTGCAGGTAACCGTGACAACCATTGGCTATGGAGACAAGGTCCCACAGACTTGGATCGGGAAAACCATAGCGTCGTGCTTCAGTGTGTTCGCCATCTCCTTCTTCGCCTTGCCTGCGGTAACCAGCCATTCTCTTCATCCTCTTGATGGGTCACATGGCAGAGGGGGCTGGTATGTCTGACTGGTTCCATTATTATATATTGCTCCCAGCTGGGCGCTGCTGCGGCAGATGGTGGTGTCTAACCCTAACCCCTTTAGCCCTGTTGAGACTTATGGAAGCAGACTGACCTGTGGATCAGAAATCCTGCACACGTAGCCTATGTGTGCTGGTTATGTAACTCACTTTTGAAAATAATTAGTGGCTTTTGGGGAGGGAGGGGGTGTGGCTCAGCATGTTAGGATGGGATCAGAAGCTCACAGATTGAAATCCCAGGACTGGCAGACTGATGCAGGGGTGCTGCACACTAGCTTACCCTGAGCTGTGACAGCCCCCCCTCCCCAAATTTGTCTCACCTGTAAATTTGTCTGTATGACTCATGGGGTACACAAAAAAGACTTCCCCACCAGGACAAATAAAGTGTCACTGTTCTATAATTATGTTGCTGAATGAGGCTGAAAACACTCCTTTTTGGGAAGTGAGGCCTTTCTGATTGGTTTCTTTTTGCAGGGGATTCTGGGCTCTGGCTTCGCTCTAAAGGTGCAACAGAAGCAGAGGCAGAAGCACTTCAACAGGCAGATCCCTGCCGCCGCATCCCTCATTCAGGTACTGGAGGGCTGTGGTAGGCCAAGGTCCTCCGGCACCCCTGCCAGGTAGAGTTAGGGTATCTGGGTACAGTAACATCAAGGTGCTCTTCTTATCCTGATACTTTACTGAATACTGACCCCTAAAAGGGAGGAATGATGTTCTGATACTGTTCTGAGGGATTCCAGGTGACTAATGGTATTGAGTAAATTTAGGATTCTCATACAGCAGCAACCATCTTCAGGAACATCACTCAGTAGCCCAGAGGTCTGTTAGCCTATGCAAACCCTATGGCAAATCCAGAAATGACCACTTGGATCACTGAAGGCAGAAGACAATGAACTGCTATGCTTATGTGCATCTTTATGTGCGTGTGTTGAGGCAGGACCTCTGATTACCTCTTCTCTGTCTCCAGAATCTGTGGCGCTGTTATGCAGCTGAGAAGCCAGACGGATATCCGGCAACATGGAAGATGTATTTTCTGTCCAGTGACCTCACCCCCACCATTGGCTCAGAAGATTCTACTCCCAACTTCCGGAAGCTGGTAATCTCAGTTTGGTTTTCGCATACTCAGGTTGGGGTGTTACTGTGTGCTGCTATATGAATCTAGAGCATTAACATGTCTTATCTTGGACTGTCAGTTCATATTCTTGATCTTTGTCAGCATTCTGAAAAGTTTTTTTAATGAAAGACTATCTGATGTACAACACACAAGGTGAGCAGTGTCGTGTTGCCATGGAGCGCTGGAAATGGAAGCACACACAGAACAAACACCTGGTAATTAAATTACTAAAGACACCTCTGGGTACTCCATTTAAGACTTGATTCATCAAAATTTATACCAGTTCGAATTTGCTCCTGTCCTCTAAGTGTGAATAATTCAAATATTGTGCTTCCATTTTTATTTAGTTTTAAATTTGCATGAAAAGTTTTGTTCTTCATAGAAACAGGGGCGTGAATTGAAGCTGCTGAATAAGACATGTGGGTTTTTCCAGTAAGGAATCAGCCTGTGTTGGTGACACCTCAAGGGCAGGGCCTCCTGGACAACAGCAAGGGCATAGATTTGGGTATTGATGGTAGCGACATGTTGTGGGGGTACTGTGTGTGTTTAGGGGGGCAAGGGGCTCAAGGTGGATTTGGCCCCTACAAATGTTGAAACCAAACCTACGCCCTTGGACAACAGGGTCATTGGTGTCTTTGTTTGCTGCTCACAAAGACACAATCAGGCACTATGATGTCACATAACACCAAAAAGAAACTTCCATTGTATCTGTTCTGGGAGAGTGAAAGTCAGGTCATGGTGAAACCTGACCTCAAGTCCTTGACCTGCAACATTATATTTTTTTTAGATATTGAGGCTCATGTGGTTTCTCCTCAGAAGCTCCCTGAAGGTCAACTGGTCACTGCTCAGTAGCTCAGTTCCCTCAGGGTCAGGTGGTCACTGCTCAATAGCTCAGCTTTCGGGGGATCATGTGGTCACTGGCAGTTCTTCATCTTTATGATCTGAAATACTTGAATGGTTGTAGAAACCCTCAAATAAATATATTTAATTCAATTATTTCTCTTCACTGCTGTGTGCTGCTGTTTGGGTTACATTAGTGATGCCCTTAACAGATGCTGAGATCCAATTTTTAGATTTGTATGTTTTTTTTTATCAGAATCAGAATCAGCTTTTATTCGCCAAGTGTGCTGGAGCACACAAGGAATTTGTTTCCGGCAGCTTGAAACTCTCTCGTACACAGACAATAAGCGACACTATACAAACAATAAATTACACTGTACAAGAAATACAAATGTGAAAGATTATACAGTAAATATACACACGTGGGTAACACTGTGCAATTTTAAGGTGCGAGGTAGAGTGCAAACGGGGGAAATTGACATAAGGCAGATGACAGCTCAGCTGTTAATGTTTATATTTGCTTTTCTCATTTTTAGGAGGAAAGCTAAAGTGTAGAATTGTGAACCTCACAACCAAAATGGGGAAATACAAAATATTCCTCTGATTTGTTTGGGTCCTGGCTTCACTGGGGGCGGGGAAGGGGAGGAGGAGGTGCACAATAACCAGTGTAAAAGATAAGTTATTAGAACACAAGACAAATCCCTGTAGGGTAGACAGAGGACCATTTTGATTATTTGACTGCCATGCCAACTGCTGCTCCTGTTTTTATGGGAAAATGTGGGGTGTTTCTTCCCCCAAAGGCTCGTGTGTAGCGAGCACTCTGCTCATATTTCTGAGTAAATGTCTCTGGACACTGATTCCATTTCCTTTTTCTGCCTTTTCAAATTTTTCGCTTTGACAAGCTTTGTTTTGCCAAGCAGTGCTGGGCTTGCATGAGCTAAGTAAAAATAACACAGAGTGATGGATGACATTTTAAATGAGGTAAAAAGTCAAGTCTACGTAACTGGAAATGAAGTTGAGTGTTACATATTTCAAGGTTAAGTAAGTATGTTTATGCTGATGTCATTATGTAAATATACAGTCAACGAGCTTGAATGAACATTCCCTGGTCTTTACCAGCATGTTTCCAGTCCTGCAAGAAAATATATTTTGTACCTTGGTTCCATGAACATCCAGCATGGCTACATGGGATTGGGCTGTCTGACCACTCAATGTTCCTTCAGAAAACTAAAAAGTCACATTGCTTATTAGATCTGCTAAAGCATGTTCTAACCAATCAGGTTCAGCCCTCTAGAGATACTTTGAAAATATCGACTTGAGCAGGGGTCGACCTCCAAGACATTCATAGTTGATTGCAACACTCTCACGTCCCCACAGCAAAATTATGAAGGGGGACCACTCCTCCCCCCCGATACCATCACGCCTCATTACCTCCCCAGAGATATTTTCTTTGTAAAAGTAGCTCTCACTGTACCAAAAGTTACATACCACTCAAGTATAGTATTTTAAAGGATACAGACTTGAAGGTATATACCAGGGTGGTGTCGAGAATACTATCAAGACTCCCCAAACCAAAACTATGGATAAATGAGGGGATCCACCTGATAAAAGTACACAATGAAGATTTTTGATCTGACAAAGCTGTGGCAGCCAGGAATAATCACAATAATGTCTCTAAGAGGACAGAAACACGGGAAAATAAAGACCCTTGATGCATGTGGCATGAGATTCAGACCATCACTGACAACAAGAGTATGAAAATCATTACTTGAATTCCAGCTCATCTACCACAAACCAACCACTGACACTGTGTTGCACTATTATTCTTTGTTTTGCATTATATTATACTGCTTTATGCTTACTTATGTATGTATATGTGTATGTATATGTGTATGTATGTGTGTACGTGTGTGTGTGTGTGTGTGTGTGTGTGTGTAATCTTATATTATGCTACAATATCTGTTTTGTGTTGTCCAGCCCCTGTTTTTTTACAGTAAATGTTATTTTAACAGTAAATGTTATTAAACACTTTGTTAAATTAAGTGTGCAAAAGCCTTTCATTTTGCTGCAAACATGTGTAAGGTGAAATGACAATGAAACTGTATTGATGGTAGAGATCATTTTCATGGAGATAAGGACAAAATTATGTTTTTTCTCAAATTAGCTCTGATTAATTTGAAGTTTCAGAAAGCAGAGTAATTAAAGGTAACTCACCTTAAAATAGCCACCCTGTATTCACGGTCAGACATGCCCTGTCTCCTCAGAGCAAACGTTACAAACGGAAGCCCAAGGCTTCCAAAGACAATGGTTCTGCGGGTGCCGACCGAGGACTGTCTGTCCCTCAGATCACGTACGACCACATCGAGGACAGAGAAGAGGGGAAGGAGGACCCCTTCCTTGTGGAGGAGTCAGCAGGTATCTAAGTAGCTCTGTTTTCACAGCTAAGCGAAGGGGAGTCTTCAATAAGTGAGACTTAAATTAATATTTCTAAGATTATGATTATTATTGTATTTATAGTTATCAAATATTATGTGTGGCCAAGCATCTATAAAGAAGTTAATATTTCTGGTATGTATGAGCTGATTAGCATTTTATTAGAGACTAAACTTATGGGCAAAAGTAATGGATGACTTTATGGTACAGAAAGGACAGTCGGAGTGTTCTTTGAGTGGGTGAAATAGCAGTATAATTTTTTTTTTTTTAATTGCCATGAGAAATATGGTGCCCACACTGCTTTATCATAGCAAAGTCCGGCACACAGATGAGGGGACCGCTGTGTGAAGGTTGGGTTCTGTTATTTGAAGTTGGAGGATTTCTGGGAAATTTGGAATATGACAGAGAAAATCTGATTCAGATCATTCTTGCAATGAGGAACTGACATTTAAAATGTTGAAGACGTCAACGTGAGGAAAGGTGTTGCTTGTTCATTAGGGGTTTCTCAGTATAAGTTGCCACAGTAATGAGATTTAATAATGGGATTTAAGAGGCAGGGAATCTGAAGAACAGACTGGGACCGTCAGATGGGGGAGCAGAGTGCTACCCTTGGCACTGACATACCAGGCTAACGCATCACTGAATGTGGCCTCTCATCTCAGCTGAGGTCTTCTGCCTGCACTCAGCTCTCACTTCCTCTATGTTCTGTATTAAGACTGAGTTCACATACCTTTTGGTTTGCATGTTAGGCATTGGGTTCAAAGCAAACAAATGTCATGCATACTTTTTGGAATTTCGAATTTCTTTTGACAATTTTATATCGGGATGCCAGCTTATTCTAATTGGTTCCCTATGTTGTTCTTGTTTTTGTCCAGGCCTTTCAAGGACATTGAGGCAGTCAGGTGAGTTTCCACTAGTTATATTGATGGATAATTGTTTGGTAAAGACCATACAAGGTTTTCTAAGACCCCTGATTCTGAGGGCTTCAGAAGAAGATGGTCTTTTATGCGCTGGTGGGGCTCTGAGAAAAACACCTCGCCTGTAAACAGGAACCAGGCACTTGGGAGAGGAAGCCGATCAGGCGGGAGGTGGCATGACACTGACACAGAGAGAAAACATACATCACTCTGTTTACAGTTCCGCTCATTTTTTTGTTCTCGGAAAGTGGTCACTGGCCTTATTTACAGACATTCTTATAGCTTGTAAACAAGGCTGGTCCCCGTCTGACTGATAAAATCAGGCAAACTTTTCTATCGATGGCATTCCCCTTGCTTGACTCTCCTGGAGGGGGGTTATGATCTCCCTGCCATCTTGAGGGGGGCACTCTGAGATGCCCCCACCCTTAGTTAGCATGACCGCCACATTGGCATTGCTTGGCTTATCTACTGTCTTATCTATCTGTCTCTTTGGTCTATGGTCATTTCTGAATCACCTCCCAAACCCCCCATTTCCAAACGCTGGAATTTTGAGTCACATTTTTCTATACAGACTGGGCAGACATAATCAACATAATGTACTTTTTTCTCTGCTCTCCATTATCAGCTTCTTCCGTATTTTTGTGTATTTGAGGTCAAGTCACATGACTGATGTCAACAGAATGAATGTCACCACCGCTTTACTAATTCACCCTGCCCTTTCTGTCCCTCCCTGGTGCTCTCTCTGCTCTCTGTTCCTGTGTTTCCTGTATTGTTCTCTACACCAGACCCTGAGCACTCCTGCTCCTCTTGGCTTCCCAGGTACAGACACGTATCTCTCATACCAGCTTATTTCTGCTGCAGGTCGCCTTCATGCATGTCAGTCAGAGGCTGGAGAGTATTCTGTCCTGCCACTGCCCAGGAAAATCCCTTCATAATGCACAATCACATAAGGCTGGTCAAGGCTAAAACAAATTTAACCAAAAAATAAATCGTGGTGGATGGGTTTGCGTGTTCCATTGATCCCAGGAGCTAAGTTGCCCAGGGCTTTATGCTCCTGGTAGGGTCACCCAAGGCAAACAGGTCCGGGGTGAGGAACCAGACGAAGTGTGGCTCAAAAGACCCCTTATGATGAGAAAAATATTGGAAACATGTTTTCCCTTGCCTGGACGCGGGTCACCGGGGCCCCCCCCTGGAGCCAGGCCTGGGGGTGGGGCTCGATGGCGAGCGCCTGGTGGCCAGGCCTATACCCATGGGGCCTGGTTGGACACAGCCCGAACAAGGCACGTGGGTCCCCCTTCCAATGGGCTCACCACCCATAGGAGGGGCCATAGGGGTCGGGTGCGTTGTGAGCTGGGCAGTGGCCAAAGGCGGGGACCTTGGCGGTCCGATCCTCGGCTGCAGAAGCTGGCTCTTGGGACACGGAATGTCACCTCTCTGATGGGGAAGGAGCCTGAGCTGGTGCGCGAGGTTGTGAAATTCCGGCTAGACATAGTCGGGCTCACCTCGACGCACGGCTTGGGCTCTGGAACCAGTCTCTTTGAAGGGGGTTGGACCCTCTTCCACTCAGGAGTTGCCTGCGGGCAGAGGCGCCGAGCGGGGGTGGGCATACTTATTGCCCCCTGGCTGGGCGCCTGTACATTGGGGTTTACCACGGTGGACAAGAGGGTAGCCTCCCTTCGCCTTCGGGTGGGGGGACGGGTTCTGACTGTTGTTTGTGCTTATGCGCCGAACGGCAGTTCAGAGTAACCCCCATTTTTAGAGTCTCTGGAAGGAGTGTTGGAGAGCACTCCTTCTGGGGACTCTCTTGTTCTGCTGGGGGACTTCAATGCTCACGTGGGCAATGACAGTGAGACCTGGATTGTCCATAATGAACACCATGTTCAGGCATAAGGGTGTTCATATGTGCACCTGGCACCAGGACACCCTAGGCCGCAGTTTGATGATCGACTTTGTAGTCGTGTCATCGGACTTGTGGCCGCATGTCTTGGACACTCGGGTGAAGAGAGGGGCGGAGCTGTCAACTGATCACTACCTGGTGGTGGGTTGGCTCCGCTGGTGGGGGAGGAAGCCGGCTAGGCCTGGCAGGCCCAAGCGTATAGTTAGGGTCTGCTGGGAACGTCTGGCGGAATCCCCTGTCAGGAGGAGTTTCAACTCCTACCTCCGGCAGAACTTTTCCCATGTCCCGGGAAATCTATCCATCTGAATCGATGGATAGATCTTGTTCCCATTTTGAGGTTGGGGGGAAATTGAGTCATCTATTTTTGACAATAACTTATACAATTTTGATAATAATTTATGGCAAGAGAGATTTAAAAATTTGAGTACCCATGGAGGTATTTCTAAATTAAGCTGATTAGGATTGAACCTTGCCTGAATAATGGACTTCACTTGCTCAAGAAATTTACTATTGATAATTCCATATTTTGAGACAAGTTCATTGAATGGGATAACTTTTCTGTTTTGAATAACATGTTCTAGACCAGGGGTATTCAACTAAAATTTAAAGAGGTCCAGTTAGAGAGCAATTCTTGAAGCAAAGGTCCGGAAGATCATAATGTCTAACTATTTAATAGTATGATATATATTTAAGTAGCCTATTAGTTGCATCAACATTGTAT